GATTCTTGTGCCTCAGCCCCCCAAGTAGCTGAGATTACAGGTGTGCACAACATCTGGCTAATTTTTTTTATTTTTAGTAGAGACGGCATTTTGCCATGTTGGCCAGGCTGGTCTCAAACCCCTGACCTCAAGTGATTTACCCACCTCAGCCTCCCAAAGTGCTGGGATTACAAGTGTGAGTCACCCAGCCAAAATTTAAATTTTAATGTAATACAGTTAAAAATTAAGCTTCTCAATTGCATGGCCACATTCAAGTGTTCAGTAGCCCCATGGGGCTGGTGGGTACCATATTGGATGGTGTAGATATAGACCATTTCCATCCTCACAGAAAGGTCTACTCCATGCCACTGCTGCAGCATACTTTCTCTCTTGGCCTTCGCATGTCCAGCTCAGTCTGATCTTTCTTCTCTACTCCAAGTCCTCCCATGGAAGGCTGAGGGAGGAGGGTCACTTGAGTCCAAGAGTTTGAGACCAACCTGGAGGCAAAAAGACGAAACCCCATCCCTATAAAATTTTTTCTTTGAATAGCCGGGTGTGTGGTGCATGCCTGTAGCCTCAGCTGTGTGGGAGGCTGAGACAGGAGGATCTCTTGAACCCAGAGGTTTGAGGTTGCAGTAAGCTATGATGGTACCATTGCACTCCAGCCTGGGTGACAGAGGGAGACCTTGTCTAAAAAAAAAAAAAAAAAAAATTAAAATCGACCGGGTGCTATGACTCATGCATGTAATCTCAGCATTTTGGGAGGCTGACTTAGGCAGATTGCTTGAACCCAGGAGTTCAAGGCCTCCTGGGAAACATGGTGAAACCTCGTCTCTACACAAAATATAAACTTAGCCGAGTGCAGTTTTGCCCACCTCTAGTCCCAGCTACTTGGGAGGCTGAGGCTGGAGGAATGCTTGAGCTGAGGAAGTTGAGGCTGCAGTGAGCTATGACTGCACCACGGCACTCTGGCCTAGACAGATGAGACTGTGTCTCAAAAAGAAAAAAGGAAAAAAGTCCTCTCAGAAAGTTCTAGAAAAGCAAAGCCTGAGAAGGAGAGGTGTGGGGAAGTAGTACAGGGCAGCCCAGCCCCAGCTGATTCTGCAAGGGGCCCGAGACCATGAATTGCATCACGCATATGTCTGCACCTGAGACCCTTTATACCTGAGTCAGCCAGCCATTGTCTGTGGCCACTGGCAGTGACTCTCCTCCCAGGTGAGGTGGCTGTGATTGGCTAAGCAACATAATTCTCTGGAGGAGTGTGGATCTGTGGGCCATTAGCAGGCAAAACTGACTCACAGCAGCTGGGGATAGTGCCCTGGACAGTAAGGGAGACTTGAGTGAGGCTCTTACCTAGAGACAAGGCTGGCCCTGTTATCCTGTTTACTAAAAAGAAATTGTGATAGAGTATGAGTAACACAAAATTTACCATCAGTGACATTTAGGACATTCACGCTGTTGAGCAGCCCTCAGCACTCTAGTTCTATTGTAGCAGGAAAGGCTGCAAAACAAACCTCTCCAACACCGAACTGGGAAGGAAGGGGTGATTTATTCAGCCACGACCACGACCACGGCATAGTTGCCTAACAGCAGAGCTCCCCTGACAAAGAAAATCCCTGCCCTTTTAAAGGCTTACAACTCCAGAAATTACATGTGAAAGGGTCTTGGTCCATGAAGTAGGTGTGGGGTATGTGACTTAGGTGGGGGTGTGATAGTGTTTAAGTGAAAACAATGCCTTCCAGAAAGATTCCTCCACACCATGCCTGTGAACTGCAGGAGTGCGATTAAGGGTGGCGCCCTGGTCTGCCAGCCTTTACTTCTATTGAAATGCACTGGAGAAGTCTAGGGGAAGGGCTCTTAGAAGCCTACGAGGATTAAGGGTCTCCTTCCTCACTTTGACGTTTTCATCACTCCAAAAGGAAACCTGTATCCATTAAGCAATCTTCTACATTCTTTCCACCCCCTGACCCATGGAAGTCGCTAGTTAACTTTCGGTCTGTATGGCTTTGTCTATTCTGGATATTTCTTCATATATATATATATATATTTTTTTTTTTTTTTGAGATGGAGTTTTGCTTTTGTTGCCCAGGCTGGAGTGCAATGGGCGTGACCTTGGCTGACTGCAACCTCTGCCTCTTGGGTTCAAGCGATTCTCCTGCCTCAGCCTCCCAGGTTGCTGGGATTATAGGCATGCACCACCACACCTGGCTAATTTTTTATATTTTTGGTAGAGACAGGGTTTCTCCATGTTTGTCAGGCTGGTTTCGAACTCCCAACCTCAGGTGTTGTACCCACATCAGCCTCCCAAAGTGCTGGGATTAGAGGCAAGAGCCACCTCACCTGGCCTCTATTCTGGATGTTTCATGTGAATGTAATCATGCAATATTTGTTCTTTTGTGTCTGGCTTCCTTTGTTGAGCATAATGGTTTTTCGTTGTTTTGTTTTTGAGATGGAGTCTTGCTCTGTTGCCCAGGCTGGAGCACAATAGCTCAGTCTTGGCTCACTGCAACCTCCATCTCCTGGGTTCAAGTGATTCTCCTGCCTTAACCTCCCAAGTAGCTAGCACTACAGGGACCTGCCGCCACGCCCAGCTAATTTTTGTATTTTTAGTAGAGACGTGGTTTCACCATGTTGGCCAGGCTGGTCTCGAACTCCTGACCTCGTGATCCACCCGCCTCAGCCTCCAAAAGTGCTGGGATTACAGGCGTGAGCCCCCATGCCCGGCCCTGCATAATGGTTTTCAAGATTCATCCATGTTGTCACATGTATTAGTATTTCATTCTTTTTTATTATAGCTGAATAATATTCCATTTTGTGGATTGATTACATTGTGCTTATCCACTCATCCATCCATCCATGGACATTTGAGCTGCTGCCACCTTTTGGCTATTGTGAATAGGGATGCTGTGAACACTCATGTACACATTTTGGCTTGAACACCTGTTTTTCATTCTTTCCGGTATACACTCAGGAACAGAACTGCTGGACTGAATAGTAAGTCTATGTCGAACTCACGGAGGAATCTCAAGATTGGTCTCCTGTCCTGTTTTATCGTGCTGTCTTCTTTCTTACTTTGTGTGCATTATCCTTGGCAGCTTCTCATGTATTTCCTTGTCTGCCTGTTCTGCCTCTACCTTCTCCTGGAGGGCTGAGCCTTGCCTGTCATGCTTGCTGCTGTCTCTCAGTGCCAGGCACAGTTCCTGATACACAGTGAGTGCATCTACCTTCAACCGCTGAATAACCTGTGCCAGGTTGGGCACAGTGACTCAGGCTTATAATCCCAGCACTTTGGGAGGCCAAGGCAGTTCGATTACTTGAGGTCAGTAGTTCAAGACCAGCCTGGCCAGTATGGTGAAAGCCTGCCTATGCTAAAAAAATATAAAAATTAGTTGGACGTTGTGGTATGTGCCTGTAATACCAGCTACTCAGGAGGTTGAGGCAGAATTGCTTGAACCCGGGAAGTAGAGGTTGTAGTGAGCCAAGATCATGCCACTGCACTCCAGTCTGGGTGACAGAGGGAGACTCTGTCTCAAAAAATAATAAACAGCTTTCCCAGGTGACTGCCAAAGATGATGGAGGTATGGGTCCTTGTGCTCCATGGCCGCGGCCATCTCCTGGGCCGCCTGTAGACATCGTGGCGAAGCAGGTACTCCTGGACTGCAAGTCAGTGGTCATATGCTGCGAGGGCATCAATATTTTTGGCAATTTCTATAAAAACAAGTTGAAGTACTGGCTTTCCTCCGCAAGCGGATGAACACTAATCCTTCCTGAGGCCGCTACCACTTGCGGACCCCCAGCTGCATCTTCTGGCAGCCAGTGCAAAGCGTGCTGCCCCACAAGACCAAACGAGGCCGGGCCGCCCTGGACCGCCTCGGGGTGTTTGATGGCATCCCACAGCCCTACGACAAGAAAAAGCGGATTGTGGTTCCCACTGCCCTCACGGTCATGCGACTGAAGCCTACAAGGAAATTGGCCTATCTGGGATGCCTGGCCCATGACGTTGGCCAAAAGTACTAGGCAGTGACAGCCACCCTGGAGGAGAAAAGGAAAGAGAAAGCCAAGATCCACGACCAGAAGGAAAAACAGCTCATGAGGCTATGGAAACAGGCAGAGAAGAACGTGGAGAAGAAAACTGACAAATACATAGAGGTCCTCAAGACCCACGGACTTCTGGTCTGAGCCCAATAAAGACTGTTAATTTCTCATGGTTGGCCTGGCTTGCCCTTTATCCATGATCGCCCTGGAATGTGCGGGACCCAGGGGCAGGCAGCAGCAGTTAGGGTGCCACAGGCAGCCTGGGACATAGCAAGCTGGGAGCAAGGAAAGGGTCTTCGTCACTGCTTTCTGAGGTTACTTGAAAGCACTCGGAGAATTGTGTAGGTATACTTTATCTGTGATCAATAAGAAGAGCAATCAGTTACTATTAGCAAAAGGGAGCTGGAAGACAAGTTGGAGGGGCCCTTCCTCGTGAGTGGGGCGTCTGTTTAACTTTCCATCTGGTCATATACTATGCTCTGCAGCTGTTAGAATGTGCAAGCCCTTGGGGACAGCATGAGCTTGCTATTGTACAAAGGGTATTTATAGTAGCATACGCTGGAAAGATGCACAACCAAGGGGTTACAAGCATTGCCCGTGCTCCTCACCTGTATTTTATAATCAGAATCAAATAAATTACTTTTAAACAAAAAAAAGGTCGGGCGCAGTGGCTCATGTCTGTGATCCTAGCACTTTTGGAGGCCGAGGTGGGCGGACCACGAGGTCAGGAGATCGAGACCATCCTGGGCAACATGGTGAAATCCCATCTCTACTAAAAATACAAAAATTAGCTGGGTGTGGTGGCGTGTGCCTGTAATCCCAGCTACTCAGGAGGCTGAGGCAGAAGAATCGTGAACCTGGGTGATGGAGGTTGCAGTGAGCTGAGATCGCGCCACTGTACTCCAGCCTGGCAACAGAGCTAGACTCGGTATCAAAAATAAATAAATAAATGAATAACTATAGCTTCTCCTCTGCCCTCACCCCAGGCTGGTGAACGAGGTGTTCACCATCGACGATACCCTGCAGACCCTCAAGCTGCGGCTGCGGGAGACACAGGACACACTGCAGCTGCTGGTCATGACCAAGTGCCGGCTGGAGCACGAGCTCGCCATCAAGGCCAACACCCTCTGCATCGACAAGGAGAAGTGCATGGGCATGCGGAAGACTTTCCCCTGCACTCCGCGCCTGGTGGGCCACACCTGAGCACCACCCCGGCCCTTGGTGCCTCATTCCGTGCTGGCATAAAATTGGAAAAGGCCGAGAAACAAAATAAAACAGTATTTTGTTTGGAAAGGGCCAACTTTCTCTCTTTTTCATATCTGTTTGTTCTCTGCATTTCTTTCTTTCTTTCTCCCTCTCTCTTTCACTGTTACCTGTTTGTCATCTTAGGAGCACAGTGTAGATGAGGGTGTTTTAAGATTAGACATGGCAGCTCAAAATCTAGAGCCCAGCTCTGTCACTTAGGAGATGTGAGGCCTCGAACAAGCGTCTAGCCTGCGGTCCTCATCTATTGAACGAGGGTAGTCCTAGGTGCAGGGGATTGTCAGCAGTGTGGGGCAGAGAAAAACAAAACCAAAAATAACCAGGATTTAGAATCAGAAGTTCTGGGGTTGAATCCTAGCCTTGGTAGTTGGAGTGTTTGTATGTATGTATATATGCGTGTATTTATTTATTTATTTGAGATGGAGTCTCACTGTGTCACACAGGTTTGAGTGCAGTGGGGTACTCTCGGCTCACTACAACCCCCGCCTCCCCAGTTCAAGCGGTTCCCCTGCCTCAGCCTCCCCAATAGTGGGAGTACAGGTGCCTACCACCACACCTGGCTAATTTTTGTATTTTTAGTAGAGATGGGGTTTCACCATGTTGACCAGGCTGGTCTCGAACTCCTGACCTCAGGTGATCCACCCATGTCAGCCTCCGAAAGTGCTGGGACTACAGGTGTGAGCCATCACATCTGCTGATGGAGTGTTTTAGAAATAGCTATGGGAGGCCAGGTGTGGCGGCTCACGCCTCTAATCCCAGCACTTTGGGGAGCCCAGCTGGCTGGATCACTTGAGACCAGTAGCTCCAGACCAGGCTGGCCAATGTAGGGAAGCAGTGTCTCTACTAAAAATACAAAAATTTGCCTGGTGTGTTGGCATAAACCTGTAGTCCCACCTTCTGGGGAGGCTGAGGTGGGAGAATCACTTGAACCTGGGAGGCAGAGGTTGCAGTAAGCCATGATTGATCCACTGCACTCCAGCCTAGATAACACAGCACGACTCCCTATGAAAGTAAAAAAATTGCAATGGGTGAGAAAGGAGGCAAAATTCATTCTGTGGGCTAGGCGTGGTGACTCACATCTATAATCCCAGAACTTTGGGATGCTAAGGCAGGCAGATCACAATGTCAGGAGCTCAAAACCAGCCTGGCCAACATAGTGAAACCCTGTCTCTACTAAAAATGCAAAAGTTAGCTGGGCGTGGTGGTGCGTGCCTGTAGTCCTAGCTACTCAGGATGCTGAGGCAGGAGAATCACTTGAACCCAGGAGGCAGAGGTTGCAGTGAGCTGAGATTGTGCCACTGTACTCCAGCCTGGGCAACAGAGCAACCCTCCATCTCAAAAAAAAAAAAAAAAAAAAAAAAAAAAAAAAAA